GAAATTTCTGAAGGAGGGTCTAGGCCCGAAACGTCAGCCTTCCTGCTCCTCTGATGCTGCTTGGCCTGCTGTGTTCATCCAGCTCTACACCTTGTTATCTCAGATTCTCCAGCATCTGCAGTTCCTACTATCTCTTTCTTCAAAGGATATTGTTTGAAGATTCTTCAGATCAGGGCATAGAGACTGATAGATCAGTGAGTAACTAGGTGCAATGTAGTGCAGAGAAGTGTAAGGTTATTCTCTTTGATAGTAAGACTGATAGAAAAACTGATTATTTTTTGAAAAGGCAAGAAACTCTCAAATGTTGATGGTCAGAGAGACTTAGATGTACACATTTAAGGGCCTCGGTACATGGCATATGAGTACAGAAAGCAATTAGGAAGGTAAGTGGCATGTTGCAAGGGAACCGAAGTGCAAGAAGAAAGAAGTAGAACATAGAATAGAACATAGAACATTACAACACAATACAGGCCCTTCGGCCCATGATGTTGTGCCGACCTATTATCCTGCTCTAAGATCAAACCACCCTGCATACTCTACATTTTACTATCATCCGTGTGCCTATCCAAGAGTCACTTAAATGTCCCTACTGTATCTGACAAATGTTTCTATAATTGTGCAGTGGTTCAGTGAGCCCACACCTGAGGCATTGTGTGCAGTTTACTCTCCATGCCCAAGGAAGAATATACTTTTGGTGAAGATGGTGCAGCAACGGTTCATGGAATTGATTCCTAGAATGAAAGGGCCACAAAAAGAGGCTAAGTAACTTGGGCCCACACTCCCTGCACTGTCTAACAGTGAGAGGTGACCTGATTGATTAAGGTAACGGACAGGGTAGACACCAAGAGGTTCATGCCTAACTGGAGAATCTAGAAAAGGGACTTTGTCTCAGGATAAACTGTCGAACATCTAAGATTGAGACTCAGCCACCAGGTCTACATGCAAAGATCCTCTGCCTACTTTTATCAGCTTCACTTGAATTTTGATTGTCTCCCCTGTGGATTCTTCATTGTTGATTCTATTCTAGTCTGAGGTAAATAGGCTTTTGATCTCCCAGAGAATCAAGGGATAGACAGACTCAACAAGGAAATGGTAAGGAGGCAGAAAACCAGCTTAATGTCATATTGAACAGCAGGCCAGGCTCGAAGGAATGAATGAACTTATTGCTAATTTTGAGAGGCTTATTATGATCAGTCTTTGCAAAAATACCCAGAACAAGAAGTGTCTAAACACTGACCTAATGTTGGTCAAACAGCTACTCTGATGGTGTTTGTTCTATGAAGAGCTGTAGGCAGTCTTGGACAGACAGTCAAGTAATTCAGATGTTGTTCAAATTCCTGAAAATTTTCTTTTAAGAACTGATAACTGATAACTGTAACAGTAATCATTGAGTTGTCAAATTGTCCTAAACACCCAACTCCTTCAGAAAAGTTTTTATTTCATCCTTCCTTAGTGCAGCACATGCATGACTCCAATTCCACAACTTGTTGTCGAAGAAACGTAATAAGTCACTTATTATATCAAAGAATCATTTGCAGGGTTTGAAGAAGGGTGACCTGTATCTTTGCAAGCCAATTAGAGAGGAGTGGTGAAAATCAGACTTACCAGGAACATCCATAAGCCAAAAATAATTTTTTTTTAATTAATCTGCCAAACCCATCAACACAAATATGGCATAAGATACAATTTTCACAAACTTCTCTCATTTTATTGAGCATTTATTTGTGAGAACTGTTATCCTAGGATTCCATTTTTGGATATGTTTTCTCATTTTTGATATATGCAAACTCCTACAGTTAAAGAAGCATGTATAGGCTTTTCCAATTGGAGCTTAGCTAAGACGCCCACTTGCAAAAATCTTCTGCTCACTCTTCACAATTGTACAATCTCTTTGTTTCTCTGGAATCTTTTGATCTCTTGAAGGAGATTGCTGGACTGGGGAGACTTGGAGATTTTGTTTAATGCAATTAAACCTGACTTGATCAGGCTGAAGACTTTCTGGATAGTCCTCCATCAGCTGGGCCCCGAACAGGCCCCACCACCAAGTAGAAGTATTCATATAATTATTTTCATTGCAGAATGGTCAAAACAGTCTCAGGGCTGGAAAATACACTAAATAGTAAAAGCAATTTGAGAAGAAGCTTTGTAAAGAATGGTCTTCCATAATCATCACTCAGAAATCAAAAAACTAGCATTGCTTTATTAGTAAGTCTTGGAGTGATTTCATACCAAACAGGATGAGACTTTTATGACTGTGGATGTTAGAGTGAGGTGCGGAATTCTCAGTAATCTCTTTGTTCTATACGAATGACATTACTTATTTAAATATCTTTTTGTTTTGAGTTGTTGTAAATTTTGTTTTCAGTGCAGTTAAACTGGAAAGGGTGCAGAAAAGATTTCCTAGGATGTTACCGAGATTGGTGGGTTTAAGTTATAAGGAGAGGCTAGATAGGCTGGGACTTTTTCACTGGAGCGTAGGAGGCTGAGGGGTAATCTTATAGAGGTTTATAAAATCATGAGAGGCATGGATAAAGTGAAGAGCAAAGGTCTTTTCCCCACGATATAGGAGTGCAAAACTAGAGGGCACAGGTTTAAGGTGAGTGGGGAAAGATTTAAAAGTGTCTTGAAAGGCAACTTTTTCTCACAGAGGGTGATTGCGCATATTGAACAAGCTGCCAGTAGAAATGGTGGAGGCAGGTACAATTACAGCACTTAAAAAACATTTGGACAGGTATATGAATAGGAAAGGTTTAGAGGGATAGGGACCAAATGCAGGCAAACGGGACATGTTCAGTTTAGGAAACCTATTCAGCATGGATGTTTTGGGTCAAAGGGCCTGTTTCTGTGCTGGACACCTCTATGGCTCTATCTCAGCCAGAATTATTAGTACAGATCTGACCATTCATCTTTGAGAGCTGTTTCACTGCTTATTAGACCTTGCTGAACTCATATAATATTTAAACTAAATTGTTGATACTGACCTGCTGTTGGAAGTCTAATTTGAGATTTATAGAACAGTAGGAACAGCTCTTTACAAATCTCACAGCTTCCACTATTGAAACTGAATAAACCAGCGGGAAAGAAATTTAAACAACACTACAGGCGAGTTGGTTAGACTCTGCAGATTGGATTAGCTATTTGTGGGCCTCAGGCTACAGTTTGCACACTCCTATTTGATGAAATTGTAAAGGAAGAAGCCTTTGAAATTTTAAACACATAATAATAAATCAAAAATTCTGGCTTTATTCATAATATAAAAAATGGCAACAGGTGTGTGCCATTTGGCCTCTCAAGCCTTCTCTATTATTTGAAAAGATCATGGCTGATCTATCTTAAATACATCTTTCTGCTCTATCCAAAAATCCCCTGGTTGCCTTCATATCCAAAAAAAACTATTGATCTCTCCAGAGACTTTCATTTAGAGTCATAGAGATGTACAGCATGGTAACAGACACTTCAGTACAACAAGTCCATGCCGACCCATTTCATCTAAAGCTATGTAAATCTAAGAAATAGGAGCAGGAGGCCAAGGGGACACATATCTTCTGCTCTACACTATAAAATGATGGTAGTTCAACAAAATATCTATTAGATTAAAACGACTGAGTGTGTACAGAGCACCTGTCGATTTTGCGCAAGTTCTGCAGACAACCTTATTCCATAATCTTAGAAAAGGTGTTACAGTTCTGACCAGGAATCTCTCATGTTCTACAAGTTCCTCAGCTATGATTGTAACACTCCTGTCCTCCATTTCTCTGCAGAATTGTATGAACCTGCCTCCAGACAAAGTGAAGTTGCTGAGCCAGTACGACAACGAGAAGAAATGGGAACTTATCTGCGATCAGGTAACTAGAGATTAATCTGCACTCAGATTTCATTTGGATCTTACAGTCTCTTACTACATCAACTAAACAGTGATTAATTTAAATAATACAGAAAAGAGAGATTTGTTGTCAAAATGTGTCATCTTGTACTCATTAGGACAAATACAAGAATGCCAAATTTCAAATGATCGCAACAATTTCTACCACAGGAGAATATGGCTGCAATTGTCTGGAATTTTGGCATCCTTACGTTTGCCTTGATGAAGAACTCCTGCGACATTTTTCAGCAATACTCATTAATGAAATACGTTGCTTGGGCAAAGTTTAAATAGGTAGCAATTGAAGAATGAGATTTAGTTACATCTGACAGTTTATCAATTTGGTCTTTGCTTACATAGATTTAGATGGTCAACATTTCTTTGCAACTTCCATCAGTTTTCAATTCTTTGAGATTAATTGAAAATGTTATCAGCACTTCTGATCTCAGATATTGAAGATTGTCTAAGGATCCAACATCACTGATTCAGTTTCCTTATCAAAGGAGCCCAAGTTAGCAAGTAATTTCCTCCACTGACAGCTCAGGAGCCATAAAAGTTTACACATGGAAGTGGTCATTCTACACATCATGCCATTGTACTATGTTCATGTAATGTAACACCATTCCCACTGCCCTCCTGTATTCCCATAGCTTTACATAGCTCGGCTTCAAATGCTTGTAACCTCTTCCCTTGCAAAATACATTGCTGTCCATTTCATCTATTCCCTGTGGAAATGCATTCTCTGTTCCACCAACTTTCCATCTAAAACCTATACTCCTAGCCTTCTTCTCACTGTCACATTGCGATATTACTTTTGTGATCCTTTATAATCATTTCTCTAACCAGAGAAATTGTCTTCCTTGATTCAACTTTTTAAACCACTTTGTGAGTTTTCTTTTAAATCCCCATGAAACTTCCTTTCATCCATTTCTTTATCATCCGTCCCTGGCGATACCTTTATGAATTGATGCTGCATACTTCAATCTACATGAAGTGGACACATTACTCTAACTGGCTAAACCATTAGCTGGTAGAAGTGTATTGCCCTCTTGTCTTTACATCCTCTATTTATAAAGCTTTTAGCATTTTTATTGTATTTACAGCTGCATTGGTATTTTCAAAGAAACATGTAATTGAACCCCAATGTCATCCCCCAAAAAACAGTAGCTAGTGGGGTAGTAGAAGCTACTGTGATTGAGATCTATAAATGTTTACTGGGGCAGGGTATTGAATGATATGGAGAAGAGATGGATAAATAGAGATAATGTGTAGTTCCTCAATAGTCTTCTCAAGAAGCAGAAAGGTCTGTTCCTATTCACATCGTCCTACTTACACACATCCTTCAAATATGCTTCCTTTTCTCATTATTTCTACAATGTACAGAACCTCATGTTCCTTCACACCAAATTCTACCTGCAATTTGTCTGCCCATTCTTCTACCCTAACCTGTCCTTTAGATCGATCTGTTTTAGTCTTTTTTCAAGATGGGTCATGGTTTCAGACTTGGGGCAAGAGTAGGGGTAACTTTCAGAAACCAGCTCCCTTGCCCCCCCCATCCGTTCCTGTGATGAAAGGTCACTCAGCCTGAAGCGTTAACTCTGCTTCCCCCTACAAATGTCGCCTTTTCTGCGAAGATTTTCCAGGCTGCTTTGCTTTTATTTCAGATCTCCTGTAGTATTTTGCTCTTGTATTTAGTCATTTAGAAGTATTTTGCAGACCATCTTTTTACAAACATCTTGAATGGGTTTTCCCCTTCCTGGAAACAGTGAGAGAGGTGGTGCAAGGACGAGATAATGGGGCTTCTTGAGCCCTCTCCCTATTTTGTTTGTTATGTCCATGGATGACTTTCTTGACCTGCTACCAATCAAAGCCCTCAAATGGTCAATTATGCCTCAACTCACTACTACACAACTGGTCAGAGGGAGAACACAGCGTTGACTCTTGGAGCATTCCATATTCAATCCTCTATAATCTCAGTAACACTGATATACCTCTGTTCTTTTACTATGCTTTTGTTTTATATATATTGTACAAGAGTGCTGTGTAGTTTTGGGAGCAATTTGATGTTTACTACCGTTCTATACTTGCTGGAACTTCCGTTATAGGACTGTGATTTTATATCTTCCAATGTTATTGGTTTCTGCATGAATCTTCACCCTATCCTGATACATTACAGACAGTATTCAGGACTCTATTTAAGGCTGTATCCCTGCTTTGACCCTTTGTGAATGCTTTGAGGTGCTTCACTTTTCTCTCTTTAGAAACATGTTGCTCTGTAGTGCTTTGGCTGTTTTTAAGTCTGCCCTCCTCTAAGTGCATAACCAAAGACAAATAGATCAGGAGTTTTAATCCCTGGTGCCTGTTGATTTTAACACGTTACAATAGGAACATTAAAGTTGACATTAGGATTTGTGAGTAGGAAATTAAGTAAACCACATGCCAGATCATCATCCAGTGACATCCACTGAAGCTACAATGACATTGGATGCAAAGAATACAAACTCCTCTGTGATGTGCTCTATCAGCAAAGTCTGCTGGTCAATAATGACCAGTTGGTTTGGATGACACTTAGCACCCAAGCCTCTACAATGTGTCAATACCTCCGGGAAAAGATATCAATACCTTCACATAAAACATAGAGATTTGAAAAAGTGGAGCTAAAATATTAATACAGAACTAACTATCTCTGAAACTATTTAGAGTCATAGAGCTGTACAGTATAGAAACAAATCCTCGGTCCAACATATCCATGCCGACCAGATGTCCTAAATTAATCTAGTCCCATTTGCTAGTATTTGGCTTATATCCCTTTAAACCCTTTCTATTCATATACCCATCCAGATGCTTTTTAAATGTTGTAATTGTACCAGCCTCCACCACTTCCTCTGGCAGCTCATTTCATACTCTGTGTGGAAAAGTTGGGCCCCTTAGGTCCTGATTAAATCTTTCCCCTCTCACCTTAAACCTATGCCCTCTAGTTTTGGATTTCCGTACCCTGGGGAAAAGTCCTTGGCTATTCACCCTATCCATGCCCGTCATGATTTTATAAACTTCTATAAGGTCATCCCCTCAGCCTGCAGCACTCCAACAAAAATAGCCCCAGTCTATTCAGCCTCCCTCTATAGCTCAAACTCTCCAACCCTGCCAACATCCTTGTAAATCTTTTCTGAACCCGTTCAAGTTTCATAACATCCTTCCTATAGCAGGGAGACCAGAATTGAATGCTGTATTCCAAGTGATGCCAAACCAATGTCCTTGGAAATTCAAAACGTAAAGCCCATAAATGAGGTTAAGGATGAAAATTGAATAATTATGGCAGGGCTATAAGTGGATGTCCTGTTGATTCAATTGAAAATCCTAAATGAGGTGCAGGTTTCCACTTTGGCAATGGTGTTGGGAGCAATAGAGAAGCTTCATATCAGTGAGATGAGAATGTTTATATAATCACTTTCTGCAATGCAGCACAGAATAGATGAGGCCGTGAATCAGTCACATCTTCCTCCTTCTGCCCAGCATCATGTCAAAAGCCCCTTGCAGACTTCCTTATGCTTTAATAACTCTTTTTTTATACACTCGACTTTTTGCAAAGGAAAATCAATTGATCCTTTTATGCATTTGCTATCTGCAGAATTCTATCAGCCCACTGGCGGAATTAATATATTCTCCTCATAACACTGTTTCAAAAATCAGATCATTATTGCTACTCAGCTGCAGCTCTGTGGGTTTTAGTAGCTGCTTGACTAATATTTGAAAATGCAAATGATAATTCTCATGTTCATACCCAGCTACAGCAAAGAGAATTTATTCAAGGATCAGCTTAACCAACAAAATATTTAAAATCTAGGGTTATATCTGTGATTCTCTGCATGACAGGTTCCAAAGCATGGCTGGAACCGTTACAGACACGCACCAAAATATTATCTCAAACAAAGTCACTTCTGTAGATACCTGAAATAGAGAGGTATCAGGATAGGGTTGGGAGATCTTTCTTTAAAGTACAATTTTCTTGTCCTCCTTTCCGAAGGAATTATGAGTTATCTTGGGCTGCAATTCCATTGCAGTTTTCCAGCATACATGTCTAGGTGGCCTTTCTTGAAGAGTGGGCTGAGACAGAGAATATCTGAGAGCTATTCAATTGTGGCAGGTATTGTACCTGGGCCTTCTTTCATCATCAGGTGTAAACATATGATCACGGAACAAAAGTAGGCTTTCGAATCTGCTCTGCTGCTCAATAAGATCATGGCTGTTCTGATTTTAACCTCAACTCTACATTCTTGCATAATCGCAATAATTTATTATCCCCTCGGTAATCAAAAATTTACCTATCTTAGAAATATTGAAAGGTTCTGCATCCACTGTCTTTTGAGGCATTCCAAAAACTCTCAGCCCTCTGAGGGATAAAATGTTTCTTTATCTTTGTCTTCAACAGGTGACCTTTTATTTTTACATAATGATCCTTAGTTTTAGATTCTTCCTCAACAGGAAATATCTTTTCACCATCCACCTGGTCAAATCCCTGAGGATCCTATATGTTTCAATTAAGTTACCTCTGACTCTTCTTAAATCCAGAGAATACAGGCCTAGCCTGTCTAATGTTTCGTCACAATGCAACCCACTCGTTCCAGGTAGAGTCCAGTAAACCTTCTCCGAACTGCTTCCTACGCATTAACATCCTTCCTTAAGTATGGTGACCAGCATTGCACAGAGTACTCCAGGTGTAGTCTCACAAACATCCTATATAATTGAAGCATAACATCTGGCAATCAATGGTTTTAACCCAAGCAGACATGGCAGCAGGAGTGGTTATTGATTGGGTGCATTCTGTATTGGGAGTCATGGCTGGAGTCCTGAAGTCAATTGGGAGGCAAACTGTCTTTTTCATTAGAATATGTTCAGTAGGCCAGGACTGCTAGAATCATATAAACCCTACAGTGTGGAAGCTGCCCATTCAGCCCATTGAGTCCGCAACAATCCTCTGAAGTG